CTCCCAGGTGGCACCCACTTGCAGGCAACCTGCTCGGGTGGTCCCGGGGCAGGGGGGGCACTGCACCTGTGGAGGGAAGCACCTGCCCCTGCACAGCTCTGGCAGGCTCTGGTGTGGGTTGGGGGAAGGGAAATGATCAGGCTTGCTGCTTTTTCCACCCCCCCCTTCCCTTGGGTGGAGCTTGGCTTCCCAGGCTGCTGCCAGGCTGCCTGCAGGGCTTCCTGCAGAGCCCCTGAGCTGCACGGAGCCCAGTACTTCACTTTGTAGGTGGTAGGGCAGCAAAAAAAAAAAACTCCTCAGTGGGGTTTTAGTTTGCTACACCCCAAATCATTTAAAGGCACATTGTGCCACCAAATTTGCTATAGTGGCTGTAATTAATGTGCAATACACCACTGAGGTGTGCAAACATTGAAGTGGTGCCAAAGCATTTAGCCCACTTTAAAGTTGCATGCACACATGCCCCTTGTTTCATCTACTCATGGCCTCAGTTCACCTGGCAACTGCCTTATCTTGCCATTAATACATTGTGTTGTTATGCATCTACGAGAGTTTAAAAATACCCTACCAAGTAGGCACACATGCTCAAACTTTAGATATATATTTCATTACCCTATTTTGAGTACAGAAAAAAAGAAAAACAAATCACCATGGAAATTAAAAAGTAAGAAAAACATAAATCAAGAGAAATTAGAAGTATTATAGACTGTTAACTCTGAGCTGCTATACTATTTCCAGTCAGTCACTTCTAGACTAATGATCATAGTACTACAGGACTTATCCAGGAGGTACACAGCCCCACTAGGAATAATGCCTTGCTGGACCTGGTCCTGGCCATGGGAGATGACCTGGTGAGGGGACTGTAGGTCCTTGACCACCTGGGCAATAGAGATCATCACCTGCTGGATTTCACTATCCAACACAGGGTGTCAAGGGCTTACACCAAGGCTAAATCCCTTGACTTCAGAAGGGCCGAATTCAATGAGCTTAGGAGACTAGTGGGGGAGGCACTGAGGGCCCAGAAGCTACAGGAGATGGGAGTCCATGAGGGATGGTTGTACCTTAAGGTGGCAATCCTCCAGGCCCAAAGGATAACAGTCCCTGAGAGAAGCAAGGTGGGTAAGAGTGCTCAGAAACCCCCTTGGCTCAGCAAGGGCA